AAAAAAAAAAAAAGCAAACCACAAACAAAATAAAACAAACAAACAAAAAACACTAAATAAACCCAACCCCAAAACAACAACAAACCCACAGGATGAAAACCAACCAACAAAAAACCCCCCAAAAAAACCTCACCAAGATGAAACAGCATACTCTAATTATGTCATAACTCTGGGTGCACTGTGAATCCAAAAGTGTTTATAAACCCATTGTTTATTTTCTGTTGGCCCAAGTTCTATGAACTTGAGTTCTACATTTTATTGTAGGATACTTACAAGACCTTGTAATTTTCACTATATTTAGGAACACTTTTTTTATTTCCACTTATTTTTCTTGGATTTTTTTTTCATCTGCATTTACAAAGCAATTAGTGAATAAAGTTTGCATTACCTGTCAGAGACACAAAGAAGGTAATCTGGATACCAAGAGCAGTGATGGCTGTATGATTTCCTGGACATGCTATTAGAAGTTTAGCTGGAAAGCTGGAGAACTTGGTAATTGATAGCATGAACCTCTTGGTGCCCAGGCATGGGTTGTCTGCTATTACACATCTACACATAGTCCAGATGTGTAATAGAGGTTCTAAAATGCGAAAAAGATGCACAGAGGAGTTATTGTCTGTCATGTTTTTCTACCCATAGTCATTAGATGCTATGATTGCACTAAGATTTCAGAGGACTTCTCCCAGGGCATATTTTATGGGGTTTCATTTCTTGGGAAGGTGAAAAGTTCATATTTAAGAAACTGTTGCTAACTATTCAAAATAATATTTAAGCTGTCTTCGGGGTAATCCTTTATGACATACAGAAGAAAAATTTCCCACTTCAATCTATCCCTTAACTATAATTCACAGTCGCCAGAGTGTAGTGCTGATCTACAGTTCCCTTCATCATTCACCTTTCTAAGCCTTCTGTGCTTCCAAAGCTTCCACTTGGAATGCCATGTAATGTTGCAGCTACACTGGCAGAGATTTATCTGTCTTTTCTTGTGCATTCAAAGTAATCAAGAAAAGGAGTTGTAGAAGTTGTCTTGAATATCTTGAAAATATAAATGCCTTTGTCCAATGGAAACAGCAGTGCTCACATTCATGAGCTTGAGGTTGGAGGCTGAAGCTGAGTTAAGTTGTGTGGGTGCACAAGTGGGTGCTGCCTGAACACAGGTTTTAAAGCATTTGGTCCTAAATTAGCATGTACAGCAACAGATGGGAGCAAGCAACAATACCAGTAAGAAATACTGAGAGGACAAATATCATTTATGTTTACAGCATTTTTTTTGTTGTTTTTGAAGGACAAATGATCTACTGTCTGTTAGCAGTCCTTCTTGATGCCCAGGATGCTCTCTGAAAAGTTAGCTATCTTGGTTTGACAGGTCATTCACAAGTGTCCTTGTTTGATGCAGCTGATTAATAAGATCATACCTCAAAATGTTTATGCTTGCATACCTGAGGTCAAATCTGTAGCAAGTGTTCCATAGAGTGCCAAGTTCTGCTTCAAGAATCTGAGCAGTAATACAAATTTTTAAAGTTAGCAAAACATAATAATCTTATCAGTTTTAAACAGATGGAGGTTTGGAAGAAAAAGAAACTTGTTTCCACATGCCTATTTCTTACAGTTAAGACTTAAAGTTCATTTTTACATCTGTGTGATTATTCAACTGACACAGAAAGCATTTCTGATAATACATAAAAGGGAAAACTGATCACATTCTCATTCTTTAAATGTGCTTATAAAGATGCAAAAATGCTATGCAAACCTTTGTTTTACCTTTTTAAATCTCTTCTGATTGTAGGGAGACTGTTTGTAGTGGTATCCAGCCCTTCTAAAATCCAAATGTCTCAAGTGTCACATGGGAGTTGGACCTCCTGAGATCTTTGCCCCAAAGATCTTTCACTAAAGATCCAAATTCTTTAGTTATTCATTCTGCCCATGCTGTTGAAGTTAACCAATTGAAGCAACAAAAGAGCAGAAAGAATATAGCTTCCACAGGAGTCCATGGTGAAAAGAGAAGCCTAAGTTTAGGATGTATCTAAGTAGGAGAATGTTCTTCTTCTGACCTTCCTTTGCTTAAAACTCATATCTTAGTATGTATGCTCTAAAAAAATCTGAATGTCTTGGATTCCTATGTACAGCTCCCATCACAGTGGAAGCATTTTTGGTAACTGGTGTTATCTTGTGGAATCTGTTCCAGGTTAATGTTGGAGACAGTGAATCATGTTAGTTTTGTATATACATCTATGATAAATTCATTGTGGTAAATATGATTCTTCATTGTCTTGTCATGATTAATACACTTTCAATGGCATGTTCAGGAGATAAGTGTTACGTGATATAACTGGTACATTATAGTAATCTGGTGACCTATATAATGTTTTGATTTATATTTTGTTTGCTTTTGCACCCACATAGGAGTCACTTCTGTGAAGATCTGCGTGAAGATTTTTTTTTCAAGTGATTTTAGTTAGAAATAAAATTAAATTTGATGGACACAAGTATGTTCTGTGATTTAGTGTACT